TCCCCACTCTTTTACAAAAAAAGTTGGATAGCCCTTGAGTGACAGTATAACTGACCTGGAGCGTGATAAATAATTGATTATGCTTCAGACTGATGATGATGATGATGATGATGATGATGATGATGATGATGATGATGATGATAATAAAGATGAAACTTTGTTTAAAGTGAGCCCAATTTGGAATCAATGGAAAATAAAGGCCCCGGTAAGGGTGCAGGGAAAAAGCCCCTAGAAAAATCAGTAGTTTCGATTTGGTATAGACTAATTAGGGTTGCTATATTTAGTCTTATAAAAAATAGTAATGCTTCCAGAAAGCAAAGCCATATCTTCCCATTGAGCATGGGGACTAAAAAGCTGGGCACAAATTTGATGGTTCTGGTTGTAGCGTATAGGCATGTTTGATATTGATTTAATTTTAGTTATCGTTGCTGTGTATTGCATTGGAATTGTTAATTTTGTTGGGTCGCCAACCCATTACAAATCTCGACATCCCCCACCACCACTCGTCTGACACCACGACGAGGTCATCGGACTCAATTAATATTCAAATCCAATCAAAGATGTTATTATGATTGCTGTTCCCTAATATTGTAGTCTAAAAGTATAACTTTGGGATGCCCGAAAATAGCAACTGGCAATTATAGAGCCAAATACCACTCCCCAGCAAGGGGCAGAAACAGCATGCATGATGTGAACAAATTATGAAATTATGGCATCTGTGATATCCAAAAAATAGCATCTGGAAACCAAAAATAGCAAGTAATCAGGGCTGGCTTTATCCACATAAGTCTTGTGTGGTGACTAACCCCAACATTTCATACATAGTTAATTGTAATTATATGTTTGTACCTCTAAACATTGTCAAAATTGCAATTTTTTTAGGGTGTAGACTTTTCTGTTATCTGCCATTGTCTCTTATTTGATATTTTTATTTCTACCTTTAATGTAATAGGCCTATGTATGTAATATTTAATATGTGAAACTGAATTTTTATGTAATTTTATGTACCATATTTTTACATTTATTTTTATATCTTTTTGTATATTTCCTGTTTTTTTTTTTTTTTTTTTTTTTTTTTCGCGGTTCCGACGGCCCTGCCACCAGAGGACCCCACTGGAAATAAGCCTTCTTCTAGACTTTCGTGGGCTATCCTTTATACCGAATAAATCCAATCCAATCCCATCATTTGAATATTTAGAGTTGCTACAATAGTGGCAGGTGACAGATTTAATACTAGAATTAGAGGAAGAATCTAATGGTGGAATGGGCTATGATGTTTATGAATTAAAAGACATGACATGAAATTGAAAAACTAAAAAGAGGACATAACTAAGACATAGGTATTGAAGTAGAGTTTCCAATAAGATGTGAACAAAATAAGAGAAATTTGGGAAGATATGTATCTATATTATAAAATATACAGTATGTTATCAGAATGTATGAAGATATTTTAAGTCAAGAAAAAAGCCATTGTACAATGCTTCATATAAATTTAAAACAGATGGCTTGAAAATGAAAGAAAAATGGGAAGATATGTTGATCAAATCTTAAGTCCCCAAACTAATGTTTAGTCTCAGTTTATATGTGATTGTTACCATAGTGAGGATACTGTATTTTTCTACACCATTGTTTCATAATTTGTTTAATCATAAATGTATGTGGAATTATTTTGAGATGTATTATAACTGAATTTTATCTTATTAATAACATTATTACATTTTAATTTTTCATTATACATAAACGTTTGCGTAGAAATGGTTGTTATGGTAATGGCGTTTTTTTCTACACACCACTGCATAAATTTCCAAAATTATTTTATATGGAAATTAAAAACCATATTGTGATGCAATATATGAAATTATATTTGAAATTAATTATTAATGTTCTCCTATGATATTTAAGTTTTATATATTTTAGTGGTAATGATTCACTGTTGGTCTGATAAAATGAAATAAATATTAATAAACATTTAATAAACATTATTCATTAAACTTACAAATTTTCATTAAGTTTGCTAGCAATGGTTGCTATGGTGATTACCTATTTTTAACATTATTATGTACACCTTTTTTTAAATAAAGACCGTGTGTTATTTAAAAAAATGTAAAGCCAAATAAACAGAAATTATAGTGAATTTTATTCATTGCCATGGCTATAATTATGATCAAAGATGACCTTGCTTTCATACTAAATTGTGTTATCTTATGATATTTAATAAACATTTTTTCATAAATCTTAAGGTCTTCATTATATAATTATTTTATGAAAAAATAAGAAATTCAAATTTGCATAGCAACAGTTGCTATGGTGATGACCTTGTATTTTATACATCAATGTGTTAACTTTGTTCAATAAGAGCTATTTATTATATAAATATATTGTATCTCATGATTTTTGCTTGGTCAAAGACAATTGTGCTGATTTTGCTTCGTTGCTATAGACGATAAAAAGAGTGTTGCTCTGCAATTATATTAAAGTTTCAGCATTTTTTTACATAATCCTATTCTACGATAATAATAGATAATTCAGATGTTAAACATATTCATAAAACCTATGAAAATAAAGAATTTAATAAATTTTAATCTTCCTGTGTACTTAAATTTCATGAATAAAATAGGAAATTTAAATTTGCATAGCAACGGTTGCTATGGTGATTGAAATTGTAGTTTTTCTTAACGCAAGATTTATTTTCGATAATTAACGAATATTTTGAGTTTCACCAATTGTTGATGATTATTCGAGTGATGTTATTTTTTATTTAGCTAAAACTATAATTTAAAGCGGAAAAATGGCGGCCATTTTGAATGCGTAATTTGGAGGTTTTTGGGTAATTTTGAGTTCTGAACTTCTCAAGACCTATATTTTCAGAAAATATCAAAATTAGCCGGTAGTACTTCCATTGCCACCTCGACGATTTTAGAGGACTTTTTGGCCATAAACTGCTCGCCTACTATGACGTGTGTGTTATATACTTTGGTCGATAGAGGGCAGAATTTTAATTACGTGTAAATAAAATAAATGCGGCATGTAAGTGAAGAAGGCAAGTGAAGGTGAAGAGTATAAAAGCGGTATTCTTTCCGAAGCTTTTCTGAGAGAGGAAGACAAATTAAACTGCTATTATGTCAAAAGAATAACATAATATGCGATCAAGGTTGCAACATGTAATATACGCGTAAGTTATGACATTCAAAATCACCAATATTTATTTATATTTGTAGTTAGAATAAACGTTTGAAAGAAAAATAGCAAGCCGACTTGACTTCCTTCAAAGATTGTTTACAGTCGCTTAGCGAAGCAAAGCCGCAGTGCAGAGTGCGCCAATCAATAATAGGGTGGTGGAGATACTGTCAGTGAAGCTACACTGATGAGTCACCCTGACTAGGCAGAGGCCTAGGCTAAAATTGAACCGATGATGTTGAAAATAATATGCTTATCCCCTATGCCTAAACTAGTAAAATGTTGAAAGATTTATTGATTAGATTATTTTTGTTGAAAATGCGGTGAGATTGGCCTAGCTAGGGGGCCATGGCCTACCTAAACTAAGGCCTAGGCCTAGCCTAGGCTTAGGCCTAGTTAGTTTAGGCCTAGGCTAGGCCTCTATGCCATTGCTAGGCCTCCTTCCTGGGGCCTAGCCTAGGTATAGATTCCCTGAGCTTAGGCCTAGTGATACTGATAGTGACAAGTGACAGTAAAATGAGAAGACCCTTGCCTGGGCCTACTGTAGAGGCCTAGCCTAGCTTGCTAGGTATGCCCTAGGCCTAGACCTATTTCATGGCCATCTTTTTTACTGTAGGCCTAGGCCTATATATAAGACTAAGTCTAGCCTAGGAGCACACTAAAAATTGTATCGCTCAATTGACTTCAAATATAGTTTCACATTAATTCAATAGAAAGAACTCATTGATGTTAGTAATCTACAGTTTAGATGACAAAAATTGGTTGAATATTTACAGTTATAATATGCTAAATTTAATATTAAATGAATTTTTTTCCAGATTTATGCATGTTGGCCTATCTTCAACTTTTTTGCCATATGCATGTGCACCGCCTTGACGGCCTAGCTAAGCCTAGACGCGATGTCTCCTCTCCCTGCTACACAATGACACATGACTCGTATTGCTGCCTAGTGGCTCAGACTCTACCTAGCCTAGGGTATTTAAGCACTCAGGGCATGGAGTCTTATTAAATTACATCAAAAATAACATTACATAAAGTTAATATGTATATGTAGTCTTTGATATTTTCATAATTTTTATATGAAAAGGACTTATTTTCTACTTTTTTGTATTTCATTAAAATTGGAAACGTTCTCAACATATACCATCATCGGTAATGTTTTTGAAGGTGGGAATTCCATATCCGAATCAGAAATTACGGGAGTACATCGTCCTAGTGTTTGTTTTTTTGTAATTCCCAATCAGAGTCCAGGAAAAGGCCCCCCATGACCCCAATGTTTTTCCGATATGGTAAAACTCTTTCTTATTCGGTATTTTGACAAGCACCCTCACACGGATGTGCTCCTAGCTAAGCCCAGGCACCGTAGGCCTAGGCTCTGATTTTATGATTTTTATTAAGTTCATGACCCAAAAAAATATTTTGGTGACCCAATGGTTGGTTGCGATGCTTTGTGGAATGTTGGTCTAGCCATACACGCCTATGTTTAGATTCTCTATGTTGGCAACACTCAATTTTAGTTGACATATGCAACACTATGTAAGTAATATAACATCATTACCTTTAAATAGAGTTTCCATTTTCTTGACAACCTGGTGAAAAAAATAACAACTAGGCCTAGACCCCACTGCCTAGAAATACTGCCCAAGCATATTCCCTAGTACTTTACTGCAATCTAGGCCAAGAATTGCAATGTACATTTGTAAATTATATTATTATATTGTATTGTATTTGTAAATACATAACTTCTTTTTGCTTACAGATATTATTGATTATTGAGACTTTAAGTATGGATGGGTATGACAAAGTAAAAGTGGTTGGTAAAGGAAGCTATGGAGAAGTGTGGTTGGTTAAACACAAAAAAGACAAGAAACATGTAAGCTTCAATTTATGGTCAAGACATTAATTAATTATTCCCTTGCCTTTAAAGTAAAGTTAATAATTTCCTGGTCATCATTACACTGTGATAGCTTCTTATTGTATCTCCATGGTTATACAAACCATGTAAATATTTTTAAAATATATACTTTTTGCTTTAATGATGTAGTATAAAAATATTTTCATTTCTCTCCCAACAAAGTATGTAGTCAAAAAGCTAGAGATTAGAAATGCCTCAAAAAAAGAACGGATTGCTGCTGAACAAGAGGCAAAGTTGCTTTCCAAGCTGCGACATCCTAATATAGTATCATACAAAGATTCCTTTGAATCGGAAGATGGTCACTTGTACATCGCCATGGGTTATTGCGATGGAGGAGACTTGTATAACAAACTGAAGGAACAGAAAGGTGCCGCTCTTGAGGAGAAACAAATTGTTGAGTGGTTTGTACAGATTGCAATGGCACTACAGGTCAGTATTACACAAAAAATATTGTTTATTTCCTGTCTGACAGCAAGCAAATCCCACATTATGAAATTAAACTATGTTATGTTGTAAAATGGTTTCACCAGATGTGGCAATACCGTAAATAAACCAATTGCCACCTTTCTTGAATAAAAAAAGTTAGTTTTTTTGTGGAATAAGTGAAGAGGTTTTCGAAATAGAGGCAGAACAAGTTTTAGAAATAGATAAGTTACTGGAATCCTTGATTTTTTAATCAAAAAGGACACACATGTAAATGAAAACACCATGTTTTTTTTTTGTTTTTTTTTTTTAAACATGGTTTTTGCCTATTTCTTTGCTTAGGAGGTTGGAGAAAATATCTACCCAAGTAAATAAACCCACATTGGCATGTTTACATACTTCCCTCAAAACCCAGAATAATTTGCAAGGGGACATTAAGGTTAAGCTGTCAGGTCAAAAACAATAAACTTTGATATTTTGATTTTCATAGATCTATCTATCTATAATCTGACAAAACATTACAATTTCTGAAATTCACAATAATATCTGTTTTATCTGGATTTATGTCCTAATACACACTTCTTTTCATCATTTTATTCATAAACCTAAAACTTCAAACAAGTATTAACTCAAAGTTAAAGTATTTGCTATGAATAGTTTAATAAATATTGCTATATATTTTTAAATGGAAGGTTTTTGATGAAAGAATATGTGGAATGCCAAAGGAATATGAGCCTGGTTCTCAAGAGAGCCCTAGTATCCGGATCGAGTGCTAACCATTAGCGCTAACCGTTAGCACCTGTGTGAGAACGCCCGATCGGTTACCGTTTGCGGTATCCGGAACGGTTAGCAATCGCTATCGATTAGCGCGTTGAACTCGTTTCTATGATCAACCAATCACACATACGCGTTTACAATTTCCAGTTTCTTATTGGCCAGTTATTCGATCATCATATTCTTGGTATCTGGATCAGGATCTTCTCATATGGACGCACGGCAGCTAACGGTTATCAGGATCTGGATCCTGCTAACCGTTAGCTGCCGTGTGAGAACATAGCCGTTGTTGATAATGTTGCTGCAGCTGTTGCTATTGTTACTGTTTTAGCTTACACAAACAAGATGATGTTGCTTATTGGCACTTTACAATAATAAAATAAAAATAATCGGGATGATGAAGAGAAAGATTGTATAATTGTACAAATATGCAACATAAATTATTTGAAATAAAAAAAGGTGAGTGAACATTACAAAATAATATAGCATGTACCACACCATTGTATAATTGGTCCACTTTTGGTCCATTTTTTTATCCATAGTATATGCATGAGCGGAACATCTTGCATCGAGATTTGAAAACTCAGAATATTTTTTTAACAAAAAGTAAAATCATCAAAGTTGGTGATCTTGGAATTGCAAGAGTTTTAGATAGTTGTAACGATATGGCAACAACTCTCATTGGTACACCATACTACATGAGTCCAGAACTCTTCTCAAACAAACCATACAACCATAAGGTAGAGTATAGTATCCTAACTTATTGTTTATAGGTCATAGCAATCTCAGCAGGACTGCACCCTTATTTCACAGTGCTCAATGCCATATTAACCAAATCCACTATGCCAAAGACTGCTGGAATACACACAAACTAAAAAATAACATTCCTGTTAACTTTTGACCATAGCGTCTGTTTTTTAAATCACGTGTTTCCTTATGTAAATTTTTGTTCACACTATCCAGATTTTTGTGTCAAATATCTGTTAATATGTCAGTGATTATAGCAACTAAATCAATGAGTGCCTTTCCACATTATTAAGCCAGTCATTGGAGCAATACCTATGAAGTGAGTATTCCACAGTTCGGTGCATGAAATAAATCAGTGCATTTTGGTAAACACTTATATCCTGGGTGGATAGAGGCAACATGGGAAAGGTGCCTTTTGTTCAAGGACGCATGTGACTTGAAAGCCCTGACCTTGCGGTCAACACAAGTAACTTGCACTGCGAGGGTTTGAAGCCCCTGACATGGTTGACACAAGTGACTTGCACTTCAAGGGTTTTCAATTCCCTGACCTTACAGTTGACACAAGTGACTTGCAATGCGAGGGTTTAAACCTTCTGACCTTACGGTTGACGCAAGTGACTTGCACTTCAAGTGTTTAAAACCCCTGATTTTACAGTTGACACAAGTGACTTGCACTGCAAAGTTTTGAAACCCCTGACCTTACAGTTGACACAAGTGACTTGCACTGCAAGGGTTTGAAACCCTGACCTTACAACTGACACAAGTAACTTGCACTGGGAGGGTTTGAAACCCCTGACCTTATAGTTGACACAAGTGGCTTGCACTTTGAGTGTTTAAAACCCCCGATTTTACAGTTGACACAAGTTACTTGACTTGCACTGCAAAGTTTTGAAACCCCTGACCTTACAGTTGACACAAGTGACTTGCACTTCGAGGGTTTAAAACCCCTGACTTTACAGTTGACACAAGTGACTTGTACTGCGAGGTTTTCAAACCCCTGACCTTATGGTTGATAGTCTGAGACACTACCATTGCACCTACTGCCTCCACATTGCCCATATACGGGCGTGATGATATTATATCGCACCCACATGTTTAGATGACAGTTATTTGTCGCATAAAACTTGATAATGTGGACAGACCTTAAGATTGCTATGTACACGATTATAGTGGTGGTGCCATATGGTGGGGACAACCCTGGACCTAACCGGGACCCCTAGGCGGCCCTCAGCCAAAATGCCTGCTTTGCTCGTTTGGCCTTCAGCTCCTCTTTAGAGTGGACAGACCAGCAGCTTTCTCGGTATTATTTTTTTATGCAATTTATTATTTTTGTTTTTCTGTTTTTTCTAGCGGACTTTTATAGTTGCTGTGAATATAATTGAAAATTGAAATGCCAGTAGAATATCTTTCAATATATTCTGTTGGAAATTAACTTGTAAATTTGTTTTTCTTTACTTTGAATGAAGTCTGATGTTTGGGCGCTAGGGTGCTGTGTATATGAAATGACTACCCTCAAGCATGCATTCAATGCCAAGGATATGAATTCTTTAGTGTATAAAATTCTTAGAGGAAAGGTAAGATTTTGATGTGTATTATATTGAATTAAATGTAAATTGTGTACATTTGAATGAAACATTTAATAAAAGCTGTGTGCAGTATATTTCCCATTTGCATGCTTTACTAAAATACAGGCGAACAACTCCATTCATTGAATCACACATGTTTGTCTGACTGATTGAAAGTTTAAGTTGAACAGGTCTTTTTGCATGTGCTCAGCCCGGTGAATTCGCTTTGGGTAATTCATCATTATAATCCAGACATGCACACTTGTTCTGCATGAATGGTTATGTTTCGGCCCTATCCAGTGCAAAGCAATTACTTAACAATTAATGTAACCATGGGAACGTGTACTTCTACAGTTATTTTCTTGTATGGCGTTCATGTTTAAAAAACTTTTACTGTTAAAAGTCCTTGATTTTAGAGCGAGGTATTTTGTTATTTATTTTTTTGAAATTTACGAAATAATTAAAAAAATAATGCCAGTCGGCAGCTTATCAGTACAGGTAGGATGGTGGGAACCCTGCCGTATGGTAACATTTGCTGTATAGTAGATAATAAAAGTTTACGCCATGCAGCATTATAATTGTTCAAATACAGAGATAAAATTAACAACTAAGGCCTAATAATAATAGACGTAATATCAATAAATAGGCCCAATAATAAATAATACAGTATAGTAATAATGTGTAGAGAATAGAGCATAACCATTAATTAAATTAATTAATACTATACATGTATTATTGTACATCATTAGTTCATACCAGTTTAAACATGCAATAAACACCTAAATATATATAAAATAAACTAAACGTCTCCACAACGTACACCTATCGATGAAGGCTATATTGTTTACTGTATATCTATTTTATGTAAACTTCGCCACAGCTGAGACAGTTATCATTCGCTGAACAACAACCCTGGACAGTCGGTATTCCACCCCACGGTGCCACAATAGAATGAAGTTACCGGCGCGCCGGTACCACAAAAGGCACTGATAAGTCCATTGTTGTACGCGCACATTTGTGTTGCCGAGGAGAAAATTCTACTCAGCGATCAGCCCTGCCTTACTTTAACCATACTTCCCCATACTCTTGGGAATTCATTTGCTTACCAACAAATTTTAACATATGTGAGCAAAATATAATTTTCCACAAGCGTGAGAAAAACAAAAGGGATCCATTGCCTCCGAATTAGAGTTAGATAAAACTTAATATACACTCAACTAACATACATTTAAAATTAGTGCATGCTAATATTTTACTTGTACGCGATATAATGTGATCTGGAATTGTCCTGGAATATGCTTGTTTGAAAAAATGTAAGGACCCTGATTGTTTTAATGAATTATTTGCAGATGCCTGCAATGCCAAAGCAGTACAGTGTTGAACTGATAGACCTTATTAAGAGTATGTTGCACCAAACTCCTGATAAAAGACCAAGCGTGGCCAGAATACTGCGTAATCCATTCATCAAAAAACACATAGCCCTGTTTCTCGAAAGCACACGAATGCGGTGAGTTGTGTATCATTTATCATAAGTTTATAATCCTTTTTAATTCTTAATGTTGTTTTAGAAAGAATCTTTTTATATTATAAGAATTCATGGGTAAACTTTAAGTGAAATGTTCTCTTAAGCCTTGCCTCTAGAATGTTATTGCTAATGTCCCCCAAAAACGAGAGTGTATACGCACGTAAAAGTTTCTGTGGGGCAAGTCCCTAATCTTTATTAACTCTGTTCTGACCATATTAATAATGAAGTTAGATTTTTATGTTTCTATCATGTTTATGTTTTTAATCAGTTTGGAGAGCCTTTGGACAGTATTTTAGTATACTTTTGGTCGATCTACGGAACTTTTACTGAAATGCCAACCACTCCGATTTCAGCAGAGTTACTCCGTTTATTTAAGCTCTGCACTCTAATTTTGGGTCAAAAATCTCCGCTTTTTACGCATTTTGGCCAGCTGAAATAAATTGCGAATTTCCGAATAAAAAATGATAATCCTATGATTTAGGTAAAAACAACACCACTTAATTTCGTCCTGAAAGCAGCGCTCTGAACTGTATACAAAATAGTAATTTGCACTCTACAGTCTACTGATTTAGAAAAGCAAAACAATTTCATTGACCAAATGACTGTCAAAGTTGCAATCTGAACTGCATACGAAAAATTATTTTGCGCTCCACGGTCTACTGATTTCGAAAAAAACAAATTCATTAGACAAATTGATGTCAAAGTTGCGCTGCACTCCGAATTGTATAGTGCTCCATAGTTTACTGATTTCGTAACAACAGACTAGTAAAGCATGATTTCGAAAATAGTGTCGGATGAGAGCGATATGGATGTAGGCCTAGGTTAGGCCATGACAGGCAGTGCTCGAAAAACGAGCAGTAGTGTTGACCTTCCTCCAAAAAAGAAGCTAAAGCACATGCAAACATGCAAGTTAATAACGGAAAGTATCCTGTCAGTTTGAAATCAAAACTACTGTAGGTGATGCCTACATTACGCTCATTGTGATTGGTGTGGTGTTGATTTTCTGCCGAGGGCCTAGTCTTGCAGGGCGGGGTTGCTGGTTGTGAGTCAAAACGGTTACATTTTACAATCCGATCACATTGGTACCATGTCATAGGAATACTCCCCTCATATTGCCAAAACTCCGCTCAGAAGTTTTTCGGACTCCTCTTGTTGGCCTTGTACGTTTGGCATGTCTGCTTTTATTTTCTTTTTATACAAAAAGACGAAATAAATGAAATGAGATGAAGTTTGCTCTTCTATTGTTGATTCTGATGACTACTGCAAATGTGGACATTTTTAAGATTTTAATAACTTTTGGTTTTTAGACGACCAAATTCTGGGAGTTCTGATTCTCGTCGTTCATCTAAGACTGAGATAGTTTCCACACCCAGAAAGGTGAGTACAAAAAACATGCACTTGATATTACAGATACTTTCAAATTATCATATTTACTGTAGTCATAGAGTTTGTGTTGTACAGTATGTCTTATCAAAACACCATGTGGTAGCATTCATTATAGCAGTGAAATATTGATCCATATGTTAAAACAACATCTTTTGAATGTTTGCACATGAGATGCAAAACCTACAAGACAAATTAATTCCTACCCACTATTCGGGGATAGTCACTGTTTAATGCTGATTATATTTTCCTACTGACAGATTTGTGATACATCACAAAAAGTTGGCAGAGTTGGAAGGGGATGGGGGTGGGGGATGCTGATTGTAGGGCACATGGAAGTTGATCGATGATCAAACCCTAAGTATCATTCTTAATATCTCACAAAAAATAATTTTTGTGTTCCAATTAGAAACTAAATTATGATTGGTAAAGGTAATTAGGTTTACTGTCGACTGTGAAAATGTTAAATGCTCAGATTTCAGTCTCAGACATCATATAAATATTATTATATAACATAGTCTGTACTTCATTGTTGTATGCTTAGTACAGTAATATATTTTGTATTGTTTTCTTGTTATTTGTAAACAGGAGCCAGAAACTGCAAAAGAACCTGAGGTAAAAAAAGTAAAAAAAAAGAGACCAACTTCAGGTTCTAAGGAAAGAAAATTAGAAAAACAATCATTTGATATAGCACCCCCACGCTCAGGATCTGGTGATGTAAGTTTTTGAGTCTTATCAAGAATTTCTTCTTTTTGCTACAATATTTTGAATGGCAAACTTGAAAGAAAATATTGTTTGAAGGTTTGCATGACGAAGTAATAATATATATTAAAGCTTGCGGTACACTACTTAGATAGTTCTGAAAAGAACTGATGTTGTTTGAGAATATCTCAACGTTTTGATTGACTTGCTTCAATCGTCTTCAGGAGAATAATATCTGGAAAGAAGAATCACCAATAATATTGCAATCATATGATTCATTCTTCATCAATCCCAATACTCTGTTTGCAGTTATATAGCTTTTCATACCTGTTTACAAAAGGAAAAAAGTAATGTACCTCTAATCAATGTTTTTCATGCTTAGATAGTTGCAATTATGATTGAATAAGATTATTCATTTATTGAATTTTGGCCCTACCTGCTAACTTGGAAATATTCAGTGTCAGCATGGTTTGGAAAAATCATTCGTGCTGGCCAGCCATATATCAGGCAATACAGAAATGTTATCAATAACAAAAACAAATTCTGCTAGTGTGCTAACTAGTGAAAAAGTACATCACTTCGGTTCACCAGAGCATGCTACGTACTGTAGATACATATAAGGCATGGTCGATTAGGACATCATGATCAGGACTAAAATTATTTAATAAAAATAAAAAACAATACCGTACACATGCTCTGTGTAATTGTAATTCATTCTTAGATGTTAGTACACCAAGGTTTTAGCATTATGATATAGTTGATAATTATATATTTTTGAATTTTTTCAAGCAGAGTAGGGCAAGGAAAGGAAGGCCGCTTCCTCCAGCCCCTTCTAAAGCCGATACGCCACGTAAGAGTGCAAGTGCAAAGAGTAAACTTGCCGTGCAGAACAGCAAGTCTGGCTCAGGTGGCAAAAAGTCTGTATCATCATCATCAAGCTCAGTGTCAAGTTCAAAGGAAGATAGCACACCACGCAGTCCTGAACTGGTCAGTAAGAATACAAGGCTTTAATATTGACCGTCATAATCAGTTAAAAAGTCCCACATTTGAAACCTTGCAAACATTGTAAACCCTTTGCAGCCTTGGAAAGATAGCCAAAAACGAAAATAATCCCCTTCACTCCCATCTCCATTCCTGGTACCAATGTATTCTTTAAAACTCCTGCAGTAATGCCCTCTTTCCTATCCCTTCTCCATCCCTTTAAAACGACAATTTCTCCCTTATTCTCTTACCTTACCGTCCATAATCGCCCATTTAAGCAAGTACAGACAGAACACACCTCACTTATGTTTATATTGTATGTATGTTGATTTAGCAGATAGTGGCTCTTGATGGCCCACTGAAGCAACAAATTGAGGCATGTTGTGGCGAAATGGTTAAGTTGCTGCACAGGCCAGTACTGAGAAAGAAGCCCGGTTAGCTCAGTCAGTAGAGCATCAGACTTTTTATCTGAGGGTCAAGGGTTCAAGTCCCTTATTGGGTGTCCAATCTTTTTTAAAATTGCCCCATGAGGAATAACTAAAGAATTATTGAATTGAATTGAGTAAGTGAGCTATAAAATATGGGAGCTCAAAAAATTGCATAAAAATCCAAATTTGTTTTTCATTATAGATCATTATTTTGATAGTTAATTCTATTAAACAATGTATGCACAAATAACTTTGAAAGGCAGTTACTCAAAATCATGTTTATCTTGACTTTAAAAGTGCTGTACTTTCACTTAGGCTTGAAATGTCCAATTTCAATGAATGACTCCTCATTTTAAAGATCAACTGAAAATACCAATAACTTAAATTTTAATTTTTGCTACAACTTAGCCATTTTGCCACAGCATGCCTCAATTGTGAAATGAATTAAATTGAATTATAACTGAGATAGCTGCCCATCACTTTAAGATCATGCTGGTTCAAAAATGTTATGGAAATGTGAATTTACTTTGCAAAAAACCGATTTACCCAAGATTAAAGAAAGTTGTGTCTGTCTCATAAAATACATAAAACAGTTATATCTAATACTAATTAATTAATATTAAATGCCTATAACATTAGACAGGCAATAAATACCAAGATTTCAAGACAGCGGAGGGCGTAATAAAAATCAAGAAAAAAAATTATTTTTTTAATGAAATTTCCACTTTTTCGTGGCGGCGGGTGCGTTAATTGGCCAAAAATAAAATTTTATTGTTATTTGAAATCATCAATATTTGCAGGTGGCGGGTTCGCTAAACAAGGTATAAAAAAAGTTTCGCCAAATGTAATTGCAGTAGCACTGGATTAGAGATAAAAGAATAGTTATGTTAACAAAGATATAGAATCCTAAAATAATAATGGTAATAGCGATTTTTCATGTTATTATTACCCCAGCCATTGTATAACAAACTCACTTCCTAGAGGGAAATTGCAGCAGCTAGTCAGTGCATTGGGCATTCACACCATGTATGTGTCTATATGTATATAAATACGCAAGATCTTAATGTTATCAATTAAAAACGTATGTCCTTGCGAAATTCACTTTACAATGCAATGTATTTTCTTTGTATGTAATCATGGAGATATTATAGTAAACTGGAGAAACAACGCAAATTTAGTCCTTTGACGATCATTTCGACCGCGCTGATAAGAATCTGTGGTCACGTGACGCGTAGTGGGTATCAATTCTGTATAAACGTGCAGTGCGAGCGATGGCTCTGTAATAGGAAAATGTGAGGTTTCCTCGGAAAAGCACATATTTGATGTTGAATATGTTGATTGGAATGCGAGTAACTATACCAAATGGACTGGAAATTTGAGATAAAGAGTTTTGGTTCGCTAATGCTCCAAAAGATAGCCCCAAACATTGAGATTTTTCGAGAAAATAGACCAAGGCCCCTGCATGTCCACGCCTGTTTAGGTATGCACGAATGTCTTCAATCAGCAAAATTCTCTAATTTTATGTTGATTCGCTGCTGTACATCAAATATCTTTGATTTTCAACTTGAAAATTCACAATGAACAACTACTATGAGACACTATTTTTTATACTCAATATATTAGATGCTGTTTATTGCTTTTACTAATTTGTAACTAAAACAGAATTTTAAATAAACAATCAAGATAATATTTATACAATGTTTAATTTCATTTTGATATGCCGCTACATTCTTTTTAAATTTTTTTTTTTTTTTTTTTTC